ATTAGAGGGTTTAATTGGGTAACTCAAGTAATAATAGGTTATAGATACAGTATCTAGTATAGAACCTAGTAATAGATAGATACTTAATTAGGTGCTCAAAAGGCACAAGTATGGCTAGAATGTATCCTCGTCAGAATATACTTGTCTGGGGTCCCCTTGAAAAGGACACTACATAATTTTATAAAGTCTAATAAAAGCGGGAAGCCAAAGAGGCTAACCTTGACTACAAAAAAAATATTATTAAAATTAGGATGAATATTATAAAAAGAGTTAAAGTTTAGAGTTAGGATTAAAGATAGGCTAGAATAAGGTTTTTATAGTACTGGATATTTTTGTTTTTAAGATAGCATAATGGGGTGTTATGTAACCAGAAGGGCAAATTAGCAATACTTAATTTTATAAATCAATCAAAGTTTAAATATTTATTAAATCAACTTAAATATTTTATCAATTTTAATTTAATCTGATTTGAAATTTCTAAATTTAAATTGATTTGAGATCAAATAGATCAAATTAAATCAAATCAAATTTTAGAACTCTAATCGTAATATCAAAAGTATCATATTAATATAAATAATAATATTTGACATCATTATATTATATAATTAGTTGTTTAGTCTAAATTTAAGATTAAGTGATAATATATTTATTTAATATTAGTAAATAAAGAATTTAATAATTATTTAGTTCATTATTCTTTAAGTTACTACAATAAAAATAGAGATCTACTATTTTTACTATGAAAAATTGCTATTTCTACTATAGTTGCACAAGATTTTCTATTTTTAGTTATTTAAAATATTTGAATTTAAAGATAAAAATTAATTTTTTAAAAATTAAAGAAGTTTTTATTAAGTTATGGTTTGTAGGACTTCTAAGTAAAGTTGTAGAAAAGAGTTTTTTGATTCTAATAGTAGTTAAATTCTTCTCTATAACTTTACTTAAAAGCCCAACAAACCTTAACTTAAAAACTTTATTAATTTTTAAAAAATTGTTTTTTAATATTAATTTCATATTTTTGGTTAAACTAAAAATAAAAAACTTTGTATAACTATAGTAGAAATAGCAATTTTCCATGGTAAAAATAGTAGATCTCTAAAAATAATGATGATTAAAATAATTTAATTATTAAACTTTATAAAGTAAAGTCAAATATTTTATATTAAATAAATATAAAATAATATTAACTAAGCTTATATATTCGGATGTTTTATAGAATAGGTGGGCAAACTCTGCCAACTCCGCAACTCTGATATTAAAAAATTAATAATTACTAATCATTAATGAAGCTTATTTCTTATATTGCCCACCTATTTTATAGAACATCCATATATTCTTATATTACAGTCCAGGATATTTCCATATTTGGTATTTCTGAATATAGTAATAATCTACATTATACAACGATCTAAAAGATTTTCAGAACCTATCAGTAAGTCTAAATTTGATTGGATAAAAATTTCATATAAATGGAAAGAATTTCTTAAGCTGCAAAATTATCTTACTGTATCGACTAGTACTCTATGTTTCGTTGGCTATTTAATTACAGTACTTTTTTTTTCATGAATAATGCAATATACTTAAATTTTTTAGTTAGAATATGAATTGTCGCATAAGTTTAATACATAACTTTTTAGAACGCATTGTAACTAAAAAAAAATTGAAATACAAGGTGTATTCCAAGCGTATTATTATTGAAAAACGTCTGGCTGATCTGATCTTGTAAATATTCAAGTAAGAACATACAGCTACATAGGTATCGATTAAAAAGTATTCCAACTGAGCAACGTGTGTTAGTTTTTTAATTTATTTCAACTAATACAGTAATGCTTAAATTTATGGTTTTAGATCCGTTAAATTTGTAAGCGATATCTTGTGGAAAAATTATATAAAAATTTACAAGAGGGGGTTTCAAAGTTAACAAATAAGTGACACATTTCGAAAATAAATTAGATTTTTTCAATAGTATTTTTACTATGTTGAATTATAACTCGGAAAAATAAAATGAGATTCTCTGATTTTAACTTTGAAACCTCCTAATGGTATATTATTCAGATAAGATATATTCGACAGTTATGCTAGATGAATTTCTGAGTATATGTACTATTGTCTTTGAAACATTATTTAATAATTACAGGACTGCATTTGATCAATCTTTAGAGACAAAACAAGATAATTCCTGATGCTATTAAATCGTTTGGAACTGTCGAAGAAGAATAGTATTCGATTTTAAATTTAATAAAGGTGAAAAAAAAGGTTGTTAATATAACTTTTATTATTACAACAATAAAAATAGGCAAAAATTATTTATTTATTTTATAAATTCAATTTAATTTTCTAGCTCTACTTCATCTTCAAGTCCATCTTGTTCATTATGAAGGTCTCTAATACTTTGTATGATCTCTTGTAATTGATTACAATTTTTTTGCTTTAACCCATGATATTTTGAACTATCGGAAATATTAACTGAACTTAGTAATGAATTGATAATTGCTATAAGCTCTTGTTTTAATATATTAGCTTCATCCATGGCAGCTGCTTCTTCTTGAGCAGTAATAGGTATTGGCCGAAGTAAGTGATTTAATTTGCTTTTTTTGAAAGTTTCATTGATAAACCTTATTCGTCTTTCATACGCCAAATCACTAAAATTTTTTAGCTGCTTGCTAAGTAGAGACTCTCCTTCAAGACTCCTAAATGTGCGATCATTGCTTTGAGGATTCAAAAACTCAGTTTTTCGTAGTTGAATTCGAAATTGCTGTAACTTTACAGTGTAGTCTGGATGTGACCACTTCCTAATGATTCATTATCAGTATGCCCAATCATATTAAATAATATGTGACGCAGCTAATTACAAGATATGTATTTTATTTTTTTATTGTTTTAAAAAAAATTTGTAAATATAATTTTTTATTTAAATGTATAGTTGTCAAATATAATTCACTAACCTTTATAAACTTTATACAATTCCGTGCCGCTATTATCCAATGTTTTTGTGAAGATACAGGTGGAATCAAGGCCTTCAAAGATTTATTAACTTCTTTAAGAATAGCATCAAGGCCTTGATGTTGGTTACAATATTCCGATCGTGAAATAACTGAGTATGATTCTATGCGTTGTCTAACTTCAGATTTTAATCACATTAATTGCTCTTCGTAGATTATCTCAAGTAAGCGGTATATAGAGTATCTACGACCAGACCATATCAGAGCAAACATATGTCGAGCAGTACTTATTAACAATGGTCAATTGTTTCTAACTTCTGTACGAAAATTTATAATTGCCTGGAGGTAGATAAAAGCCTATAATAATTATTAGCTAGAATTTTTAGACAATATATTTTGTTTTATTTTATATTTTTTACTTAAATCTTACTTATTCAAATTTCAACATATATATATGATCATTTTGTCTTTTGCCCAATCTAGATAAGCATCAACCAAGGGATTTTCAGTTATGACTATGTACGGCCATAATAGTTCACGTGTAATAGTATATCAATAAATATTGCAAATAGAGTCCCACGATTTGTGATGGTCAATGCATTTTTTGAAATATCCAAGTTGATTTTCAGTTCTGTATCCTTGAATATTAGCAAATTTCTTAATATCAATCATCCTTAAAAGAATGCGTAAGTATAAATTGGAATTATTTGAATGCTAAACCCAAAAACGTTATATTAATTTTATAATAACATAAAAATATTAAAAAAAAACAATAATATCAATTTAGTTCTACAAATGCCTTGAGCATATTCATTTCTTTGTACAGGGCATCAGGAATTAGTATAAGCCACGAGAAGTCTTTTTTAATCTTTTGAGCTAGATTATAAGGAACATCATCGCAAGTAACTAGTAGCCATTTTCGTGCTCCTTGGCTTATTTCCGTAATATTCTGTATATACTCTAAAACCTTTTTTACATTATTTATTGAATTAGGGTTATATTCTAATAGATCCAGCACATGCATTTCTGGAACAATAACATCATTATCAGGTTCTGAACGTTGGGTAATACTAATATGTTCGAAATAAGAGCTTTTTTGTTCGTAAGTATACAAATAGGACTTAAATATGAGAGATTTTGATTGAGAGTCTATATTATTAAGTCATGCAAGCTCCTTAGCAGATTCCGCTTGTAACATAGCTAATGTGTCTAATTTCTCATTACAATTAGGGCATGTATGTTTTTTATTTTTAATGTTGGTCATATTGCATTTTTTACACCATTTTGATTGACTTCTGACGCCTTTTTGATTTTTAATACTTTGATCAATAACATTTATTTCTTGATCTTTTTCAGTTATAAGGTCTTTTAAAATCGATGATAAGTATATTTTTAATTCTAATTCAGATTCTTTTTTCATCTCTGGTGTAAGATAATATAGCTCTTCATATTCTTTATCAGTTAACAGATTATCAAGCCACGGTACACTTACAAATTGAGTTAAGTCATTTTTATTCATGTTTAATGCAACAAAACTTATAACTACATGATAAATAATCGTGTTATATCTGCGATCAAGATAATTATGCTGACCTCGTTGTTCATTATCAAAAGCTAAGAATAAAAGCCTCTAGGTAAAGGTTCACTTTCAATTGCTAATGATTCTAACCAGTTAACAAATTTAGTATAACTTCCAGAACTAATTACATGGTTAGGGAGGTGTCATTTATCACCTGATTTCTCTCACTTAATAGCCTACCCCCCCTCCCCCCCTACCTGACTCTAAAA